CTCTACACTCCCGGTGCTCTACAACCGGGAGTGGAGAGAGAGCCATAACAACGATAATTGTTAACAAAAAACTTTATATCTCGAGTACATGAGCTGTCGGTGTATGTGTTGTATCCAAAGTCCTCCAAACCCTCACAACACACTCACATCCATATCGCAGATATCGTGCAATCCATACATTGTCTGCGTTTACATACAGTCAGCGCTGGAGTGAGTCATCACCGGTTAGTACAGCTTATCATACGGTAGAGGCAATCGTAAGCAATGGTAATGCTTTGGCAGCGCATGTGTCGGTGTCGGAGCAATACCACAGCCAACACCTCCTACTCTCTGCCACTCTCTCCCTCTCTCTCACACACTCTCTTCGCACTCACTCTTCAAGACCTGTTGATCGCCACCAACTGTTCAGTCGCTCGCAGTTTCTCTTCATATGCCATACCATACATACACTGTCTGTCTGTCTGTTTGGTCGCAATGTATGCTTTAGTAGCGATCGAGAAGTTTATGTGAAAAGTTTTCTTCAAAACAATATTTTCATCTCTTCGGGAGAAAAACCATTTATTCAGTCATTCATTTCCAGTCATTTCCCGAAACCAATAGTCAAATGATGAGAGCGATGGTCGACATGCGGGTGGAAGTGGACGGACGGCTGTGCTGTTCGTCGGTACAGACGGCGTCCACCGCCGAACCCGATCCCAAACCGTCGCCAATACTGCCCTTCCTATACCTCGGCGACGAACGTCACGCCGCGGACAACGACTGTCTGCGACAATTGGGCATCACTTATGTGCTCAACATTACGGCCGAACCGTTGGCCGCAGACCCGTATGCGGAGCCGCGCACTGGTCTCCGATACAAACAACTGGTGGCCGTCGACTCCTATCACCAGAACCTCAAACAATATTTCGAAGAAGCGTTTGATTTCATCGGTTTGTATATATTATAAACACATAATATAAATAAAAAACTTTTTAGCATTTGAATACATCTGTTAATAACACATGTGTTGTCTATTTCTCTCTCCCTCTACACTCCCGGTGCTCTACAAAATGATAGATGAGGCGCGACGGACGGGTAGGCATGTGTTAGTGCACTGTCACGCGGGTATATCCCGATCGGCGACCATAACCATCGCGTATCTCATGCGTCACCTGTGGATGAGTTTAGTGGACGCCTATAATCTGGTGAAGAGTAAACGGCCGGTCATATCGCCGAACCTCAACTTCATGGGACAGCTCTTAGAGTTGGAACAAAAGCTGCGCCGAACAGCGCAGGACAACAATTGCCGCCAATCATCGGTGACCACTGCCGACAGTGCGAGTGATTTGACCGCCGATCAAGAGATTTATGATCCAAGTGTTGACAGCAGTAGTGCGCGCACAACAGCCACCACCACAACCACAACCACCCCATCCACGGCACCCATACTCTCATTATGAATGGTTTGGATCATGTTTTTTAAAATTGTGTTTTAATTTTTTCAAAACACATTTCCATTCAATTTAGAAATGTTTAAAATACAGAAAAGTTTTTAATTGTTTTTTGTAGATATGATAAAAAATTATATAGAATAACGAGTCATTCATTCAGTTATTAGATAAGCTCTCTCTCTCTCTCTCTCTCTCTCTCTCTCCTACTCGCTCTCTAACACGTATGATATTTAACAATAAATATAATCTATAATTTTATATCTATTCTGCGATAACATATGCGCTTAAAACTACTGTCCATTATATCGTTTCTCTGGCCATAACTTATTATTATAACTCACGGAAAATCGCATTCAATTAATATTAACACAACTCTCGACAAAATGTTTGCAATAATTGAATTGCAAATTGTTTGCCAGGATTTCTATAAGGAAACTATTGTTAAATATACTGCTAATTATGACCATATGGTGACACAAAACAATGAGTTATCAATGATTATCATGTTCAATTATGTTGAATTGGCTACTTTTGGTTCTGGTGTAATGCACCTAATATTAAATTATATGCATAGCCTTATAAATCATACATTATAATTTATAAAGTTTTAATGTGATTTTGAAACACTTTTAAACATTAATCACTGATAAATTTACCATTAAATCTAGATCTCAATAAATCTAACGCTATCTCATTGCTAATTATGAAGAGAGGGTGGGGTGGGAGATGTGGGGTTGGAGACCAACTTATAAACTGGGATATATTCATATTGGAATTGTGGTTCAAATTGAGCCCCACATGACTCGGAGCCGTACTCTGGCCTCCCCTTACAATTTGCTTGATTATCGACAACTGATTAATTGGTGTTGTATTGTGAGGGTATGGGAAGGAAAGAGCGCTATTTAAACATCTCATCCCTCAGTATCTCTCTTATGACAGACACTACACCTGTTTATAATCAAGAAAACCAAAATTGTATGACTAAAGCCAAATGTTATGACGACTATTGGCGCCGACCCATCAAAAGCAATTGCAAATTGTTTGCCAGGATTTCTATAAGGAAACTATTGTTAAATATACTGCTAATTATGACCATATGGTGACACAAAACAATGAGTTATCAATGATTATCATGTTCAATTATGTTGAATTGGCTGCTTTTGATTCTGGTGTAATGCACCTAATATTAAATTATATGCATAGTCTTATAAATCATACATTATAATTTATTTTTAATGTGATTTTGAAACACTTTTAGACATTAATCAATGATAAATTCAACATTAAATCTAGATCTCAATAAATCTAACGCTATCTCATTGCTAATTATGAAGAGAGGGTGGGGTGGGAGATGTGGGGTTGGAGACCAACTTATAAACTGCGATATATTCATATCGGAATTGTGTTTAAAATTGAGCCCCACATGACTCGGAGCCGTACTCTGGCCTTCCCTTACAATTTGCTTGATTATCGACAACTGATTAATTGGTGTTGTATTGTGAGGGTATGGGAAGGAAAGAGCGCTGTTTAAACATCTCATCCCTCAGTATCTCTCTTATGACAGACACTACACCTGTTTATAATCAAGAAAACCAAAATTGTATGACTAAAGCCAAATGTTATGACGACTATTGGCGCCGACCCATCAAAAGCCCGGGCTATGAGTTGGCATTACTTTTTTATTTATAAGAAACAGTAAAAAAGTGAGAGTAAAAAATAAATAACCGGTTCATTGGGTTATATAATAATGTATAATAATTGTCGGAATCGTAAAGAAACTCATTGAAAATTCTGTTGAAAAAATACTTACTATTTAAATGAGTGGCTCTTATAGGGAGTTATAAATGTATGATTCAAACGAAAAGCATACGAAAACTCATGTGAATCAGTGAATGGAGAAAGAATTTTTGGTCCAAAAAAGGAAATTATATTCAAAGATGAATTCAAAGAGCATGAGAGAGAGAGAGAGAGAGAGAGAGAGAGCTTATCTATAAACTGAATGAATGACTCGTTATTCTATATAATGTTTTATCATATCTACAAAAAACAATTAAAAACTTTTCTGTATTTTAAACATTTCTAAATTGAATGGAAATGTGTTTTGTTTTTAATTTTGTGTTAAAATTTTTTGTACTAGGTTTGGTAAGTATTACTCTCATACCCACGGCACCTACCCCACCAACACCAACACCACCACCGACAACACGCGCGTGATGACGACAGTTGTGAACAATCATAAATCTCTTGATCGGCGGTTAAATCACTCGCACTGTCGGCAGTGGTCACCGATGATTGGCGGCAATTGTTGTCCTGTGCTGTTCGGCGCAGCTTTTGCTCCAACTCTAAGAGCTGTCCCATGAAGTTGAGGTTCGGCGATATGACCGGCCGTTTACTCTTCACCAGATTATAGGCGTCCACTAAACTCATCCATAGGTGACGCATGAGATACGCGATGGTTATGGTCGCCGATCGGGATATACCCGCGTGACAGTGCACTAACACATGTCTACCCGTCCGTCGCGCCTCATCTATCATTTGTAGAGCACCGGGAGTGTAGAGGGAGAGAGAAATAGACAACACATGTGTTATTAACAGATGTATTCAAATGCTAAAAAGTTTTTTATTTATATTATGTGTTTATAATATATACAAACCGATGAAATCAAACGCTTCTTCGAAATATTGTTTGAGGTTCTGGTGATAGGAGTCGACGGCCACCAGTTGTTTGTATCGGAGA